AAGTCTGGTGTATGGAAGACAACAAGCTCTTATCCAGTCTTTCACTCAACAAACCAGTAAGTAGAAACATTTAACCTTTCCCAGTCACCTGTTACCCTTCAGATACTTTCCTTCAATTATTATTAATGAAACTATGCCTAACACAAATTATGCTGTCATGATAGAGATTTTTTTTTCCTTGTTGTTCGATAGGCTTCATGCCTTGCTAGCTGCCCATCATCTCATTGCATTGCTGTGGGAACCCTGAGTGGTCATGTTTTCTTCCTTGATCTATCCAATGTGGATAATCCTCGCATCATACAACGTCTTCACATCCATCAGACTCCTGTCCAGCAGTTGGTTTATGATGAGGAGGGACGGTACCTCTTCACGGGGGCAGATGATGGCCATGTGTTTGTGGTTGATGCTAGGCCATCATCAAGTTTTAAGATTCTCGGCCAAACACGTGAGTGATCACATAACCTTCAGCAGTAATTCCATTGGTCCTTGCTTTGTTGATCGTCTTAGTCCAGTATTGATCATGTTATGGACTCTTAAAAACTGTAGATGTTTTGTCACAGGTGTAAACAGATGCCCTCCCAAACAATTTTTTAATAATAATTTAGGTCCAAAGCACCAACGTGAAGTTGTTTGCTTCTAAACATTTGAAATGTCTTGAAAGTTTGCAACCAGCTGTCATCAAGATCAGTCTCCCTTGCCAATTCTTGCAATTATCGTCTTTGTCTTCCAGCTATCGAAGGGCTTGTTGTGGCTATTTCTACCAATACATCAGAGAAGCATGGACCAGTCAAAGTACTGGTGACATCCAATACTACTCCAGATGTGACCCAAGGAGCTAATAAGTGTTGTCAGTTTGACCTCCCAAATGACCTGCCACAAGGTAGGTTCAAAGGTCTTGCACATTGTTTTTGTTTAAAATGGAGTTTCCATTACAGGGGAAGATGAAGCATAGAAAATATTTTAACAAATTGTTTGCAAAGAGCTGTTCTTTCCAAAAGTCAATAAATTCAGAAACTAAATTAAATTAATTACAAAGTATAACTGTTTGTGCTTAATATGTAAAAGCATAAATAAGTTATTGACACCTCTACACCAAAACATTTTTGCTAATTGAAGAATTCTTAAAGTATAGCATAACAGCTAAGTTGTTTAGTGAGACCAGATCATGACACACATTTTTGTAATTTGTGTTTTCACAGATATTGACAATTTCCTGGCCAGTGCTAAGTGTGATTTCAAAGAAGATTCCATCCAAAAGATGAATTTAAACTTTTCTGTGCCTTGCATTGGTGCTGCTTTGACCACTGGGAATGTGTTCTACACCATTGCTTACGATACTAAACAGTTACACAAGCTGGTTCTACCTGAAGAAGCACCCAAGAAGGTAAAAACAGAAGAACTCCATCATCCCGTTACATTTGGTTCGCAGAACTGTGAATTGGTTAACAAGTTAACAGGTTTTGTTGCATAGACAGTTTAACAACTCTCATTCACTGCCCTTGGGTTTGACCCTGCAACAGAAATTTCAGACTCAATATATTCCAAGTTGTGAATTTTTTTACTGGAACTTTGTTTAATTGTCCAAGATACAACTTCCTTTGTCATCCTTCATATTTTGTGTTTTGATTTCCAGGCCAATAACAAGGCATCGTACTTGCAACCCCAAGGCGAGTTCCCTGGCCATGATCTACCTGGTGGTTCACTCATCCTATCTCATCATCAGAAATGGCTTGCATCATGTAGTCCTGATGGACATGTCTTAGTACGTGGTGTAGGGGCATTAGATCGACCCATTGTTGTACAAGCACACAGCTTCTGTACTGGTGGAGTCAAGCAGGTGTGTCTGTCTACTGATGCACAGTCTGTCTTGACCTGCGGGGCACAAGATGGGATATTGTCATGCTACACTTGGAAGTAAGTTGGACTTCATTCTGCCCTTTTCTTACACCTTTTTTAAAATCTATATCCAAATTTATGTTCTTCAATACATTTATAGTAACTTTAAAATTTGCTTGAATATTGTTTGTGAAGTTGAAACCGTATTGTGTTTGTAGGAAACAAACATATTTAATTGAATTGGATGTTTGAAATGATCTCAATGCAATCTAGACTAAATTTGGGCTGATACAAGGATAAATCATCTTTCAGTTACAGCAGTACAGGCCGTAGTAAGGCTACTTCAGCTATAGAAGCTGCTCGATCCCACAATGCAATGCTACATGCCATTCGTAAACGTGAAGATGAGGTGCTAAGTGCTATGCCTGATTGGAATGAAACAATGTCCACTCCTATGTCACGTTCAGTGTCTGATATCCAGGGACCTAAGGTAAAACAAACCATTACATTAATTTGTTTGAAAAGCACAAACCATTTATGATGAGTATGTTTTATTTTGTAGCGACGATGATCTTTATAAAATTGAGGCAATGTGAAAGAGGAATTTGTTATTAGCTTTATATTTTGTGGACATAATTTGTGAAATCTAAAGTATGGCCAGGAAATTGCTCAAAAGGAGTTATTCTAAAGGTTTAAAATCTTACCTGGTTTGAATAACTTGACAACATTGTACCATCCCATGACCCAACTCTTTAAATTATGCCAAATCAAAGATATCGTTAAAAAATAGAGGGTCTTCAGTGATGATGGTAATTAGATCAAATAAAAGTGATGTTTAAAGTGCTCTTGAATTCAGAATAAATTTTTTGTTCATTCTCTACAGAAAACTGGTATTGAGCTTGCAATAGAGAAGGATGAGATATATGTAACACCAACACCAACGTTGGCATCTGACCCAACCTGGATGGATGTCAAAGAAATGGAAGTGAGTTCATCCAATCCAATCAGACAGATTATTTGCTTTGCTCATTAAAATAATGAGAGCATATAAAGTCAAAACAGTTTTCTCCTCGTTAGAGATTTGTTTACTTCTTTTAAAGTAAGCTATTCCTTGACAATGATAAAGCAATTTAATGTATGACACTACAGAAGAGGAAACAGGGAAACTCAAGCAGGCAACTGTACATTATGCCTTGCAACATTTCATGATTCTTGATCAAGATTTTATTTCCCCTTAGGCCTTGCGGGAGGAGGACAATCAATATTCTGAGCTCAAGTCAGCACTTCGAAGTGACATCAGAGAGCTGAGGAGAACGGTCAGTAGATATGTATTCAGCTTTTTCATCTCCGTCAGGAAAGCCATTTTAGCAGATTTGGGAAGAGTTGATTTGGATAGGAACTAAGTCAGTTAAATAATATTTGTGGTTATTATGTCTACACACATCTTTGATATGATCATAGATTCAAAGCATGATGAAGGACAACGAGACGTTGCCTGATATAGAGCAGCTTGGACATGATGAGTTCAATCTAGACTCTGAAGAGCAGCAGAGATTGCAGGAAGAAGGAGAAGCCAAAGTCCAAGAGGTAAGACTCCTTTAACCGGCTCTTGATGTTGAAAGCATTTCATTGTTGCTTTATTCAGTACATAGCTAAATGGTTAGCATTGTTACTTAAGATGTGAGGGTAGGAGGTTTGAATCCAGCTGCTATCAATGTTTCTTGTCTGTTTATTTGGCATAGCTATTTGCCTCTTCTCCAACAGCATTCTTACGTACATAGTCACAGTCATTTTATTAAAACCATAGGTGAGACTTTAATGCTTGTTGATAGGTGTAAATGTAGATTGATTATTAAAAATCATCTTGTTTATTTCAGATGCGAACCAATATGGAGTTTGAAGATCTAGCAAAGACCTACTTGAGAGAGGTTATTAAAAATGAGTGTTGGGATTCCATGCTGGTCAAAGGTCGTAGCATCAAGGTAAGACTCCAGATAGGAAGATTTATGTTCTCTTAATCTAACAGGACTACACAACGAAGCATTACCTCACGGGCTTTCCGTGTAAACAAGCTTTGGTGGCCTTTATGCAATATATTATATGACACATCCATCTCCAGTAAAACTTTCTTTGGTTGTTTGTCACACTAGGCTTTCCATATGAACTTAGAGGTTGGTAACTATCCAATGAGAGACAGAACGAAGAAGGAGAAGGAGGAGCTGACATTTGTCACCAAGATGAGGCAGATAGAGATGGCTGAAATGGCTGTAAGTCATCAACTCAGAAAAAGTTTTTGTGCTTGACATTCTTAAAGTATGTAACCATCTTCAAACAGAAATTTGTGTTGTAAAATTTCAGTGACTTTCTACCTAAGATTACCTGGGATTGTTGAGCTGTCGTTGGGCCACAATAATGCACCGTATTCCTTTGCATAGTTAGAGTTCTTTATTTTATTACAGGCAAGGAAAGAGATTATCGAGGTTCAACCAAAAGGAAACAATGCTAAGGTCAGTGGTTTCAGGAGACTTCATTTTAATTTGGACTTTCAGTCTGTACATGTAATATGTAAATCAGATTTTCCTGAACAGTATTCATTCAAATGTAGTGATGTTTACATATTGAATTTAATCAAGGAGTGTTAAAATCAGAATGTAAAGTTGTCGGACGTTTGCTAGGTTGTATGATTTTTTCTGACTTTAGCCCAGTGATGCTGAAGATGCTGATGATGAATCTGAAGAAGGAGATGGAACTGAGCAACCTTCAACCATCGGCAGTCTTGGCGCTCAGTATGGAGGAGCTAATGATCTTTTCTATAGTCAGTTTGAGCTACATACACGCCAACAGAAACGCAACCAAATCATCCTCCTACAAGATGCCATCTACCGCATCAAGATGGCCTTCAATAAGGACTTTGATGAGGTCTACCGGGCAAAAGAACAAGAGATTACTCGAATTAGTGATCGAAATCAACGCATCTTGAAGATCATGGAGGATCTTATTAGTACAGAGGAAGTGTGGAAACCACAGATGGATACAGATGAGAAGCCGGAGAAACTACTGACTGTGGAAGACAGTGAGGTAAAGACAGAGAAAAGGAATTGAAGAAATCAAATTCTGTGAACAGAATTGAATAATCTGACATTGTAACACAGAAACGGACTGGATTAATGTATGTGTTCTCAGTACATAAACACTTTGTTCCACTGAAGCACTTTTATTAATTTTTCTATTATTATTAATTATTTCTAGAAATGACACCAAGGATTCCTCAAAAGTGCCTCAGGCACTGTAGCTCGTAAGCCTGACAAAACAAAGAAGCAGTTACAGTTTTAGAGGTGGGAGGAAAACCCTAGAGGAATATTCTGGGTAAAACCCATTAGGTAGGAACTGAAACCAAATTCATGTGTGGACCAAGCCGGGAATTGAACCCAGGCTTCAGCAGTGGAAGGCAAGGAAAGAACCACTACGCTAACCTGACTCCCTGACTGTTGTTATGTTTACCAATATTATTTTGTATTGTGGTATTAAGGTTCAGGAGAATTCAGTCCTTTTTTTCCGTGTACATTCTGTCTTATGATTCATCTCTGGGTCAAAAGGTCAAAGTCGAAAAGTTCATCACTCCTGAGCAGAGGAAGAAGATGGAGGAAGAAGCAGCTGAAGAGGCAGAAAGGAAGCTACGAGAGAAAGGAGATAATGCTAGAGAAAGGGCTCTGGATATGATGATGGGTGGGGTCCTGGAGATTAAGAAAGAAGATGAACTTAAGAAGGTGAGGATTTACGTGAAATAAGTTGAAATCGCATAAGTTGGATGGTATCGGGATGGGAAATTATAGCATAAGGGAGCAAAACAATTGTGACAAGGGTGGTGTCTTGGAGATAAACTTAAGAAGGTTTTGCATACAACTTGGATAATAAAACTGTTCATCTTCACCGATATTAGTGTTCCATCTGATTTAATTTAAGCAAGTCTTTGTCTTTAGGATAAAGCACATTTTGCATAGAACCATTCACTGCTTTTCCTTGTTAACCACTACCAGCCGGGGAC